ATATATATATATATATATATATACATATCATGTCATTTAGCCTTAAAATATTTTTATTTTACCCCACCCCACCCCAACCCAACCCAATCCCACAAAAAACATGGTGAAGAAGTTATTATAAGTGTTCTTATCACTATTTTATGGGTGGGGAAACTGAGTCTTAGAGAGGTTACTTATCTTGCCCAAAGTGACATGAATAACAATTAGAAGAGTTGAGAGTCAAAAACAGCCCGTCTTTAAAATCTGTTCTTCGCACACTCCCAGTTATTTCACATGTTAATAAATCTGATGATATTTATCCAAGCAAATCAGATTTATTAGTTGGAAACCATTCGAAAGCTGTGCTGATGGGAATTTGGTGATTCATTGATATAAAGTTTAGACTGAGATTGTATTAAACTTTTTACTTTGAAATAATTTTAGACTTACAGAAAAGATGCAAAAATATCAGAGAATTCCCTTGTGCCCTTTACTTGGTTTCCCTTAGTGTTAACAATGTACATAACCATGGCATAATTATCAATAGGAAATTGACATTAGTACAACCCTATTAACTACAATCTTTATTCAAATTTCACGTTGGTTTTCATTACTGGTTGTGAATTTTTTGAGGGCAGGAAGTGTATTAGATTCATTTTCATATCTACAGTGTCCAGTGGTAAGTCTCTTCTAGAGCTGGCGATCAGTGACTATTTGTGTAATGAGAAAATGGATGAATGGATTTTGAGCCTCATACTACAACTTGTGTGTGTTTGTGTATATATGTATCTCACAGGTTTAGAAGCACATGAGAAAAGTCCGAGGCTATGATTCAAATGATTGTTATTCAGAACTAAATTCCACGTTACATTTTGTGAAACACAGCCCTTTAGAATTGTGAAGACTTTTCAAAAACAAAAGAGAGTGTACTAATGAGATAGAAAGATGGATACGGTGGAATCTGCTAAATGGGCAGAAGGCTATGGTGTTGCGTTCATTCTATTGTGTGTGTGCGGGTGTGCATGTGTGCATATGTGTGTGTGGGCCGTGTGTGTGTGTACATGTTTGTGTGTGTGTGCACGCACAGGTAGGTATGTGTGTGTTGGCATGTGTATTACTTCGTTTCTTTTGTTTATAAATGAAATACCTGAAACCTGGTAATTTACAAAGAAACAATATTTATTGCTTACACTTTTGGAGGCTGGGAAGTCCAAAGTCCAGGGAATGCTTCTGGTGAGGGCCTTGTTCTTGGTGGTGACTCTTCACAGCAACACAGGGCGTCACATGGCAATGGAGCAAGAGAGATACTAACCTCCTCACTGGCTCTTCTTTTAAAGCCATTGAAACCATGCCAATGACCACCATTAAACCATCAATGGATTAATCCATTTATTAGAGCATGGCCCTTGCAATCTAATCACCTCTTCAAGGCCCCACCTTTCAATTACCATAATAGGATTTCTCACCCTCTTAACAGTTGTAGTGGGGATTAAGCTCCAGTCATGAACTCTGGGGGACGCATTTGCCCTTACCAGCATGTATGCATAATTCATAACACATTTCCCTATGTGCCTGGGCTAGAGAAGCAGCAGTTGCTGGCAGCCAGTCAAGGATTTCCAGGCAGGTTTTAGAATTTTAGTATTAAACCAAATCATAGAAACTCTCTGGCTTGAAAAGGAAACCCAGGCAGATGCTTTTAAGGCTTCTATTTTATTTCACACTGAGTTCAGTAGAGCTTAGCATTAATGAAGTGTGAATTGGCTCTGACAATGGTTTCTGACAACTATAAAAGTAAACTTTCTTTTACTTCAACCTTTAAAACCAAAGAATGTGAAACCAGGAGAGAGGCAATATTCAAAGGACAAAATTCTTATTAGTAGCTTAATGGACCCTAAGATGGCCATTTTTCTTGATGTTTTCTCCATCTGTTAACCAAACTGAAAATATTAATGTGATCATCTAGAGAGGCCAGAATATGGCATTATTCCCAGTTGGGCAAAACTGTTATACAAAATTGTTATGAGAACTTATTTTTCTCAAAAAGTTCAACATTTAAAAAGTTTTAATTATTTTATTGTTGTTTAGATGGAAGACGTCATAGCACGCATGCAAGATGAAAAAAATGGAATTCCTATTCGTACTGTCAAAAGCTTTCTTTCCAAGATACCTAGTGTCTTCTCCGGTAAGTGTGCATTTAGCATAGCTCTATTTTCTCCAGCACCTTTCATGTAACTATTTAAAATCCATTCCAGCCATTCATTGTCGAAACTCTAACTCACTATTTAATAACTACTTGTAAAGTGCCCATGGCATGTTCACATTATGTTAGACACTTGAAATAATGGTAAAACAAAACAAAACAACACAATAACATAAACGATGACCCTACTCTAAGTTCGTTTATAAAGACAGAATCAGCAAATGTGAAATAACAGAAAACAACAATGTTAAAATAAATAATGATGTAAGAAGCAACATTATTTAAATTATAAATGCAAGATTGGAAGGTGAAAAAAAGTCATTGAGGAGTCAGGAAAGGTTTGCAAGACAAGCAGGAGTTGTCAACCAAAAGAATCTAATACTGATATATGAGGAAACATGGAGACATTTAAAGCATTTTTGCAGAGAATGTTATGCTGTGAGTGTTTGGGATGAATTGACATTTAGTAGGGGCTGCTGTGGTAGGTATAAGGCTCTTGCAGGAGCAGATTGGGTGCCAAGGTTCTGATATCCAAAGACTGAAGTAACAGGAAAAAGCAGGAGATGAGTAACTGGGCATGCAGAGGAAAAAGAGGACATGGCCCAATGGATTTTGTTTTTGTTAATTTTAAATCGGGAGACTGAGAAACACAGAAATCATTATCAGAAATAGGGAAGCTCCGCAGGTTTGATTGGAAGCGACTGGAGAAACCTAAGAAAAATAAATAGTAGTAAGTTAAAAATCTGTGCTCTGCCTGCAGGAGACAGTGAGGGCCCCGTCGTGGGAGGTTCTTGGTGTGCTTGGGGAGGTTCTTAGGTGTGCTGGGGCATGGCTTAGGGACGAGGCTGCTGCTGAGTGCAGGCAGGGAGGGTGCTGGGCGATGCCTGTACATGGCTGTGTGATGCTTCCTTATGAACCAGGGATCAGGAGGCCTTCACCCTTGAGAAAAGGGTACGAATCAGGCTCAGGCTCTCAGAGAGAAGAGAGAGGACATGGAGCTGATGAGAACTACCATAGAACAACGACATTTTGCTTTAACAAAATGTGTCCTCCTTTTTTCCCGTGACACCCTCTCATCCTGCTTTGTTTCCGGTTCTTGCTTTTCCTGGATGGTGCCTTGTATTTTCCACATCTGTGGCTTCTCTCTTCACCATCTGACTTCCAGGCCATCCTGACTGTTAAATTCCACCCACTCTTCAATGGTCAGCTCAGAGAGCTCTTTGGGGAAAACTATCCTGAGCCTTTTGTTTCTGTGCCCTCAAAATCCTTGCTTTTTGCCTTTCTTATAGCAGTTATTTTGCTGAAGTCCACAAAGTGGACTCTGTCTTAAAGTTATTTTTGTGTATGTCCTGTATTCCCAGGTAAACCTTAAGTTCCCTTAAGTCAAGGACTCAGAGTTAACTTTACATATAAACGCAAACTTGAAAATGTTACTCATATGTCAATGAGCTAATAAAACGGATGATATTATCTCCTTCAGAATCCAGGTAAATAAATGCATTGAGTTGCTCACCTGCGCTGAGAACTGTGGTCAGTTCAACCATGCAAGGCTTATGTAAAGGCTTCCAGTTCAGAAGTTTTTATGATAACGTACAGGCTAAACAAAAAAGGTTTGCTCATCAGATTAAGCTGGGCTACAAATTTGAGTTATTTACTGTGTTGAAGTCTAAAAATTTTTTTTATTGAAGTGTAATGGATTATACATATTTTTAGGGTAGAGTGTTGACTTTCATTATTTGTATACGATATGTGATGATCAAATCAATATTATTAGCATATTCATTATTACAAATAGCAATTATTATTTGCACCTCTTACCCAGTTGGAATCTAAAATTTTTGATTGAATTTTTTAGATGCCTCAACAGTAAGCTGTTGTAAGAATTCTTGATTGACAACTTTAAAATCTTAATTGAAAAGTATGATTAGACATATAGATTGAGAATGAACACTGAAATCTCTGAGAATTGTTCTAATGTTCAGTGATTTATAAAACAGCAGTGGTAGCTATCAAATAAAGAGAATATCAATGACATTTTTCATATTAATGTAATTAGGTGCAAATGATCATTTCTTGTTCCCTATAAACTTTTCAGGAGTTGTCTGCCTCTCAGGTTCAATTAGATGCTTTGCTGTAGATTTAATTGGTATGTCTAGTATTATGTACAGCATTTGTCTGTCTCTTTATATTAACATGCTGAAATTATAATGTTCTCAAGCACCATCTGCTTTACTAGAAGTTTTCAGTCTTATTTAGTAATTTCCCTCTCCAGATATTTCTCATGGTCTCTGGGGATTGTCAATTCCTCTGTCCTTTTGTGGCCCAACTTGCTACTTGCTGCTTGCTTTCCTGGCTCTTTCTGTTTTTCTCTCTTCTCTCTGAGTCTGCCTCATGTTCTACTGCAGAGCTACTAATGAAACAAGGGGTCTTCTTAGTTGCTGTCAGCAGCACCAGAAACCAGCTGTGATGAAAGCCTGTGATGTGTGAGAGCAGGGTAGTGTGGTCATTGGGGACAGGAGTGTGTCCATGCCAGGGACTGTTCCACAGGGTAGAAAGGATCTCATATACTGTTCATCCAACTTTCTCAGGTTACACATCTGTGCTCCCTAAAGCCTTGATACTCCAAGCATGATCTATGGACCAATAGTGTCAGCATCACCTGGATATTGATTAGAAATGCAGCATCTAAGCCCAGTCCAGATCTACTGAATCAGAACCTCGATTTTCACACTAAGGTTTTTTATTTTTTTATTTTATTTTTCCCTTTTTGTCTCTTTTTTTTACTGACCGGTAACGGGATCGCAACCCTCGGCGTCGCACCCGTACCGGGGACCGGCAACGGGATCGCAACCCTCAGTGTTGTGCCCGCACCGCGCTCAGCCAGTGAGCGGGAACCGGTCTCCACATGGGATCTGAACCCTCAGCGGGAGTGCCGCCACACTCTCAAGCGGCGCACTCTCTAGTGCGCCACCGGGCCGGCCCACACTAAGGTTTAAGATGTGTTGCCTTAAGGTATACCTGCAGAGGTCAGGCAGTGGGGCTGGACTGGGTTCCAGGGAGAACTTGTGTTTTACCCAGGGCACTGCTTGCAGTGGACAACTTGTTTGTTCAGATCTTTCTGTTCCCTTTCAAGGGCTCTAATCATCTTCTCTGCAGTCTGGCCTCAATCAAGACTACCCCAGTCTTCTAAATGACTCTTGTTTGTTTGTTTGTTTGTTTCACTTGGGGGAGCGTAGAGGGGGTGGGAAGAAGAATCTAGTCCCTTCTTGTTCCTTTAATCCCAAGCCAAGAGCCTCTGCAACCCCTAAGATCGATGGATGCAAACATCTCCTTGGGGGCACGGGCACTACCCAACTCCACCAGGCAGCACATGCTTCAAAGGTAAATACATGTCACGGTGGCCAAGTATTGCCCACATCGACCTCCAGTGAAAACAGCTGTGTTGCGAAAGGGATAACACAATCCGATCTCTTTGAAACATCTGTGATCCCAGCCCAGAATCAAGTCAAAAATCCTATTAATGTACCTAGTAATAGGGTTTGTTTGTGTATTTTAACTGCTAAATGTGTCTCCTCTAGCGAAACATCCAAGACTTTTTCCAATCTGTTGGTTTCAGAGTTGTTGATTCAGTCTCCTGGTTTCCATGGTTCCAAGACCAGAGGAAAAATCTTTGGATAACTCCTCCTTGGTAGTCCCTTGAACCCTGGGATGGGAGATGTCCTTGAGTGGATCCAATCACAACATTGTTCTGTTCTCCAGAACTGCTTTCTCAGCTGCAGAGGTAGCTCAGGAAACTCCATTTATGGTACACGACCTGAAGTTACAAGGCCAGTGACCAGAGCATGGCCTGTTTTCTCTGCCCTGGGATTCTGTTGAGACTCCCAAAACTTCAGTGGAGTGTGTGTGCACGTGTGTTTGGCACCAGAAGGATGTAAACCTGGTGGCTGGGTAATGGCCTTGTGCAGAGAGAAGCAAAAGAAGCTTGTCTGTATATGGAGAACGATGAAGTCCAGGAGGAAAGAGAAACAGAAGATGAGGCAGAAGGTACTGGGTTTCTGGTGGCTTTACAGCCCTGGCGCCAGTCCTCGGGGGCTCAATCCTGCGCTCTGCACACTCTTCACCCAGATTTCCTCATGTCCTCCAAGCCGCCACCATTAAACATCTACCTTATGTTTCACTATGTCCTCTCCTTTCCTTTTCTCTTTCAAACATGATACCCAGGAGTGATCCCCCCTAGTAATTGTATCAGACACAAAGTCCTTATGGTTTGCAAAATCAGTAAGTATACATAAAGTTTTATAAATGGGAACTCGCACTTTGGGCTGGACCAAATGCTGATCTGAGCATGGCTGCAATAGATTCACTTGGGGAGGTTCCTAAGAATGCAGATTTCCAAACTCAAACTGCCGATAATCTAATTCGTCAGGACTGGGATGGATCCAGGGAATTGGTATTTTTAAGCTGATAAACAAAACAAAACAAAACAGGATTCACATCCGCTAGTCTTAAATGCATGCTCACTATATTTCCCTTAAGCTTTTTAATTCAACACACATTGATGGAATACTGTGTTCCTGTTTCTATACTGGGTTTTGAGGGCTAATATTTTACTGGGGAAATAGATTATGTGTATGTCAGCACTAAATGTTCAACTGGGGTGATGAACCGAGATGAGTTCTGTTTGCAGAGGTTTAAAAAGTCAGTCATGGGAGCAGAGATGTTTAAATGCTGTCACTTTATACTCTGGTCATCCACAAAGAACCTGACTTATATACCCTTAACTTCTGAAAGAAATACCTTTATGAGCTTTGGGAAAAAGGTACCAAAGCCTTTAGAACAGGCTAATACATGATTATCTGCATACTATTTTGTAACTTTTACGAAGTAATAATCAAAGATATTTTATGTTCTCTAATTCTCTTAAGATAAGATCAACGAAATAAATT